TTTATAATCAACAGTGGTTAGGTTATTTCAATATATTAAAAAGTGTAGGTGTGCCTCACATGGTTAATAATTTACATCTTTATAGCTTTCATTTTCTTTCTGGTCAAAGTCCTTTCATTCAATATATTTTTGAGTTTTATTTTTTGTTGTAGCACAGTTTCAAATTTCCCTGGATTCTTAAAGAAATCCAACAAAAGGAACAACAACAACAATAGCTTTCTTTTCAGTAGTCACAGAGCGAGCATCCTTGTGGCCAGATCAAAATCTCAGGTACTGTCTTCTTTTTAAGTTTTGGATAATAGAACAAATGAGAAAATCTGTATGGAATTATCCCTCAAACTCAATCTAGCATTTTGTAGCTTCTGTCTTCATCTGCCTTTGTAAGTGAAGAAAGCTCACTGTATGTGTGCTAGGGGGAAAAAAAATGAACTGTGAAAGAAAATCTCATAGAAGACCACCCTCATTCAGAAAGACAGATACTAGTTACCCATTAGAACAGCCACCCTTTCCTCCTGTGTTTACCAACTCAGAAAATGCAAGCTACATTTATGATACGCATCTGTTTTGCAGCTGAAAAGGAAAGTCAGATAAAATGGAATCAATATTAAAACAACCTACAACCAATACCTTAGGTAAGTAATTTTATTTTTAGAAATACATTCCTTGATCTAACAAAAACATGGATGCAAATTATACCCAGCTGGAAAAAAAAAAATTTTAATCATAGGGAAAATCTTTTCTGGTTCAGGAAATACAGTAAACCAAAAATATGAAGTATGCATACATTCAGCTATGCTTAGATAAGTATCGACAAAGTTCATCTAGATTTTGAAGAAAAAGGATTAATGTTCTCCCTGGGAAGTACATAAGAGCTGTCTATTTTCTGAGATGATGGTAAAGAATTAATATTACATAAATGATTTAAAATAGACTTTGCTTGTTTGCTTATAATGAATCTTTTTGTCATAATACTTAGGATAACTAACAAATACATGAATCAGTAGTTTCTAAAAATAAAGACTAACATGTTGTCTAATTAAATCTACTGCAAACTAAAATATTAGCAAGTACCAAGTACTTCAAACTTCACTTACATAATTCTTTAGTCTCCACCTTCAAGAAAACAGATCTAATTTGGTAGCAAACTTTTAAAATATTCAAGCTTGCCTACATGTAATAATACAGAAACTAGGCTACTGTATAACTGAACTGCCCTTTTCATTCTCCACATGGAAAAGAATGAAAGAATGCTGGCTTGATGAATGAATATTCAAAGCAAGAGGACACTGTGAAGATCACAGGGAATTCTGAGCACCTATTTTGATGAAGTCCATAACTGGAATGTGTCTTTGTAGTGGAACACAGCATATCCTTGGTCAATAATGGAAAATAAATTCCTCCATACACCCCAATAGGTCCAAACTTTCTTTCTTTCTTTCTTTCTTTCTTTCTTTCTTTCTTTCTTTCTTTCTTTC